CCTGGTAGGTCTATAGCCGGTATGGTGGAGAGTTCTGTCGTAGGTATAAGGACTAGTCCGCTTTTTTAGCCGTGGAAGTTCATGAGGTGGCTGCTTCGTAGGTGTTGGCTGAGGTTCTCCGTGGAACAAACGGGGCTGTGTGTGCTGGGTCCCAGACATGTGTACCAGTCGTGGTTGGTCCCTTGCGGCTGAGGAGTTCTCTCAGGAGACCTAGGGGTTCCAGGATAGTCTCTGCTCCCGCAAGCTTCCTGATCGGGTAGAAGGTGTCACTCTTCTGGACTGCCAGTGTGCGGTTGGTCTTCCAGCGGTAAGTGATGTTGTGAGCTCGCAATACCTCTGTAAGTGGCTGTAACGATTTTCTCCAGGCGAGATTGCTCCCTGATAGATCAGCATAGAATGAGAGCGAGGAGCCTTCAAAGCTGTATGGGGAGTTTCCCCTGAGTGCGCCCAACACTTGCCTTGTCTTGCCCATTTTGGAATTTTGCTATCACGTCCCGTGGAGCTGTAGCGGGAGCCTTGAGTGGTCGTGGGATCCGGAAGAGACCCACAGTTGTGATTGACTTGGCTTGTTTTGGGGTGAGTAGTGCGCCGAGTAGCCGCCTTAGAAAGTGCGGTAGCTCCTCATCGGGTACTTCCTCTGCCAACCCTCTGATCTTTAGGTTCCTACTGCGCCTGGAGTCCTCCAGTATTGCAAACCTCTGTTCCATTGCTGTTTGTTGCTGGTGGAGCACGGTTATTTCCTGCTGCAGGTGGGTAATTTGTGCCTTGGTGTTGCGGGAGTTTTCTTCCAAAATACCTGTGCGTGTTGTTAGGCCTTGCAGGTCCGTGGCCATATCCATGTGGATATCCCTCCGGAGGCCCGCCAGCATCTCCCGCATGTCGGCTTTTGTCACCGGTGCAGTATCCGGGTTGGTGACCACGGGTGGTTGCGGTGGAGGTAGGTTTCGCGGTATTGGTGGGCTATGAAGGTCAGGCTCCAGAGCTTGATCGTCCGAGAAATCTGAGCTCTCTCCCAGATAGGAGGCCATCTTGGACAGTGAGCCGCCATGTGCTTGCCGCCACATATCGCCTATGTCCATTCCCATTTTTGGCTTGTCAGCTTACTGTTTTTTAGATTTTCTGCCCATGGTATCGAGGGCCGTCGGTGGATCCAGTTGGGGTTCGTAAGGTTTGGGTGTGAGTGGTAAAAATCGCTGTTAATAGTATTTGGCTCTCGGAGCCTTGCAGACATGCAACCGCTCAGTTCGATAGCTTGGCTCCGCCCCTCGCCATGATCTTTTTTAACCAAGGTTTTTAAGTCTTATGGTCAGTACAATGCCATGTATAGCAAGCATAGGTTCACGTCTAGATACCAACCATAAATGATGCCCATCACTGACCACATAGTCAATGGAAAGCACGAAATAGACATGTTGCCTGAGGATCTCACATAAAGATTGTGTCTTCTCCAAGTGGCCATATGTGGAACTGCATGACAAAATTGTAGGATAGAAATAGTACTTCCAGAATGCAATACAGTAAATTCTACATTAAAGGACCACTATAGTTAATCCAGCCTCTAGTGGCTGTCTCACTGACAGCTGCTAGAGGCGCTTCCGCGATTCTCAGTGTGAAAATCACAGTTCTGGACATCCATAGGAAAGCACTGAGTAATGCTTTCATGTGGGCAGTTTGAATGTGCGCGCGGCTCTTGCCGCACATGCGCCTTTGGAGCTGACGTCGACAGAGGGAGGAGAGTTCCCCAGCAAAGAGGGAGCCCGGTGCTGGAGAAAGGTAAGTGGCTGAAGGGGTTTTAACCCCTGCAGCCCAGTGGGAGATGGGCCCTATGAGGGTTGGGGGGCCTAATGACCCTATAGTGCCAGGAAAACGAGTTTGTTTTCCTGGCACTATAGTGCTCTTTTAATGCAACTGTAATTTCTTCACTAGATCAAGAAAGATAATTGGTGAATATTTTGTGAGGTTTATGATGGCAAAGAAAATTGTGCGATCCATTGGAACATTACACTGATTCTGTTTAAAATAAATCTAATACCAAAGTTGAAATATATATATAAAAGCTGACAAGTAAGTCATGAGAATATTTAAAGATTAAATAGAAATCCGTTTTTTACGCTTTCCCAGGTTTATACTGTGCGATCTGTAGCTTTGATATTTCAAAGGTTTCGAAATCTTTCATAACTAGTGAAGTCGTTAAAGTTTACAAACCTTTAAAGAAAGATGAAGATAAAAAACGGCAACACAACAAAAGCACTTTTCAAAGAAAAAAAATGAAATGAAAAAAGCCAGGTCCTGCAAGAAATATATTGAGAGCATGGAATATTTTTTATATTTTTGCTGTGTGCCAGTAGCTAGCGGAGAGAAAATAATGTATGTCTACCAACACCCTAAGATATCCTTATCACTTTGAAATATGTATTATTCATGAACAGCTAGCACAAGAGAAATAATCAGGCAATGAGCTGTAGGGTCCTACAGAAATATACAGGTTTGCTGGTTTTCATACAACTAACAAAGAGACAAACAGGCAGACAGACAGACAGTAAGATGGGTAGACAGGGATAGATAGATAGATAGATAGATAGATAGATAGATAGATAGATAGATAGATAGATAGATACATAGATAGAGAGAGAGAGAGAGAGAGAGAGAGAGAGAGAGAAAGATAGATAGAGAGAGAGAGAGAGAAAGATAGATAGATAAGATAGGGTAGACAGGGATAGATAGATAGATAGATAGATAGATAGATAGATAGATAGATAGATAGATAGATAGATACATAGATAGAGAGAGAGAGAGAGAGAGAGAGAGAGAGAGAGAAAGATAGATAGAGAGAGAGAGAGAGAAAGATAGATAGAGAGAGAGAGATAGAGAGAGAGAAAGATAGATAGATAGGTAGATAGATAAATAGATAGATAGATAGATAGATAGATAGATAGATAAACATAATAATTGGTAGCACTCCAGGATTTCCAAAAAAAGAGTCTTTACTAATATATGTCCAAAAAAAAAAGAATGTTTTGACCCTATGGGGTCATTATAAAGACCATATAGATAGATAGAGAGTTAGGTAGACAGACAGGCAGTGGCTTCTGAGTGAGAGGGGATAGATTAAATTAGCTCTCACCCAATGAACAGCTGAGATTAAATTTAGGTATTTGAGGTCTCCCAGCCCCCTTACCACTTACAGTTTCACCCCTCTCTCCTTTTAAGTTCAGGGCAAAGGTGCATTAGGTCCATTGCAGTAATGGTGCAACCCTCATTCTCTCAAAGCCAGTTGGTTTCATCTCTTGGCATTAACAATGCCATCTTCGTTGCCCAAATCCAGGGATGTGCTCAGCCACCCTTTTCTCCAGTAGTGTCACCCCCACTACTTTAATTTTCCATAATTTTACAAACGTACCATAATGGTCCCAAGGAATACACAGTGGTGTCATACCCTGACCGATGACATTTAGCTCCAGTGGGAAGCCAAGTGTCATTATGGGCACTCTATGAGCCATTTAACTTTGGGGAGAATTTACGTTGCTTGAACACCTAGAATATAATGCCCTTCAAATAGCCTAGTCAATGATACTAATGCTGAAAGTGTATAATATAATATATTTTATACATGCAGAACCATGGTTTTAAATTCATGATCCATGACTCGGAATGTTAAGTCTTTCAAGATACAATTTTATTTCCAATAGGTAAATCTCATTTGTATTTTAGCCCACGCCTGTGTATACTGTGCTGCTGTGATTTAGTAATTAAAATACACAGGCCTCAACTATTCTTCGATAAAGCATCTTTGCTTTGATGCCTGCAGGGACATTGCTGAAAGAGAAGAAATATGATCGTACCACAAATGTGCAGTATTTAAATTATTTTTGGCAGCCTTTTGACTTCATTAAAAAAAAATAATATTTGAATAGCCTTGTTTGGCATTACCTCCTCATTTCAGCCGGTGCTGGGAATGATGATTCACAGTCTCAGGGAATTAATGCAGTTTTACGTATATCACATGAAAGGTGCATTGATAGATGATTGAATTCACTTTTATAGATTTTTAGAATAATGCTTATTCCAGATGAATTGTTTTGCACATAAAATATACTATATATTATCTTTTTTTTTATTTTATTTTTTTTGACTTAGGTCAGAGGCTCAATAGAATTATTACAGAAGAGAAAATAAAAACAGCTTATGCAACAAAACAATCACAGTAGGGCTTAAGACAGGGTGTCTAGCTAAGAGTGGCTTTGGGGCATGAACTGAGGAAAATTATTTTGGGTAGTGGGGGTTAGTGTTGTAACAGGAGCCTAGAGTGCCTGGGAGGCTTTATAGGAGATGGGTCTAACGTTGATAAAGGCTTTTAGGCTGAGTGTGCTGGTGAGTGGATTATAATAAGATGGTCATATAAGGTTGCATGGTGAGCACACTCACTGCCGTGTGGGCATTTAGGTGTTTAGGTACTTTGTAGGTAAATATGCCCCTTAACCCTGGGGGCGGGGGGGATGGGAGCAACTCGGTAATGCAGTTAACCATAACGTTTGCAAATAAAAACTTTGAAAGGATAGGAGTCCCGGTCGCCATGTGCAGCCTGCTCATTTAGCACGACGTCTGTTGAGAAGTGCAGGTCAGTCCCTGGATCGTTCAGGTAGTGGTCTCTGTGGGAGCTCCCGTTCCAGCCTGTCGGGGGACGAACAGTGTCTCTTTCGCAGGGTCCTTTGTGGTTAGCGGTGCCACTGGGTGGTTTGGTCCTGCAGTTGACAGGGAGTCCAGTTGTAAAGTGCCCCAGATCTTGAGATTCAGGCTATGCCATTGATTATCTATTTCTGCAAACCTTGGGCCCATCTTGTGGGTCTGCTGTTGCAGGTCACGGACTGCTTTGTGTAGCTGCGTTGTGTCCTGCATGTTTCGGCGCGAGTTGGCTTAGAGCGTACTCAGACGGCCTGTCAGGCCTTGGAGATCTCCACGTATCTGGGCCATGTCAGCTTGGATGGTGAGCTGAAGCCCCGCTAGCAGTTCTTCATTACTGCTGTGGTCACTGGAGATGTATCTGCTGGAGGGTGAGTTCGGGAAGGAGCCACCACGGGTGAGTGGTGCATGTCAGCCCCACTTGTAAAGTCATCCGATATGTCAGAGCCGTCGTCGGCATAGTCGGTAATGTTGGTGCTCATGTTGAATCGGGCCTGCCGCCATAGGACACTGATACTGCTGCTTTGCTGAGGGTTGTCGGGCTTTGCTTTTTTAGTTTTTCGGACCTTCTCTTTAATTGTGGCTGGGTGTTCAGGTTGATGCTGTTTGTGGGGAGATTGGGCCACGTTAGAGGGTTTAGAAATATTGTTTGATCCTGAGCTCCGAGTGCATGCGGCCATTCAGGTCCATGGCTTGGCTCCACCCCCTGTATTATCATTTTTATTTATTTTATTTATTTTGTAGTACACTAATTGGTCCATTTTCATGCTCTTTTGTTTCACCTGAATATAAAGCAAGTTTAATATAATATATTGTATCTTCTACTTAGTGACAAATGTAATTGCTTTAGAATTTGTTAACTAATCTATTGGTTGCTGATATAATAGCTTTGCAACATCTAAGCTATAATTGCTCCTGACAATCTGTCCAGCATGGCAGTTTTGTTGGTTGATGTATGATTGTCGTTTTATTGGCTTGGTCTTTGTAAGTTTACAGTGCTGTGATCCAGTCAGTCGCAGGCAATATACAAGGTCTGTATCCAGCCATATAATGTGAAAAAAGAGACATTTATACACAAGAAGATACAAGATACAAGAAACATTGTACATAGGATAATGACACCTCAGTCCCCTTCAAAGTAGGCACCTTGGTACCTCACACAGTTCTCCCAGCATCTCTGTTGAAACACTCTGCAAAATTCTTTCTTGCTGCCTCGTCGTATTTACCTTAATCTAATCCAATTTTGACTGCGACGTCCACACAGTACACATGCTCACTCAACAGTGTCTAGCGCCCCCTACTGACTAGCACAGTGAAGTTGTCATTGTTCACGCATGCGCAATCAAGTCCACGCTCCACGGCTAACAGGTTACATCAATGTCGTGCAAACCTTTCTCGTCATATTAACAACAGCTGGATATTTTCTGGACAGACATTGTACTTGTGCATGGAAGAAAAATTTAGTTCGGTCAAATCAGTTCAGCCCTAAAAAAAATTTTGACTCGGTGCATTGAAGGTTCGTCTATGCGGCATTTCAAATTTTGTTCATGCAAACATTTAGGGAAAATGATTCCGATGAACCAATGGGGCATTAAAATGGGCCAATCAGTGTACCGCAAAATATATACATAATGTAAATCTTACAAATATATTTTGCAGTATAGTAATAGGTGCACTTTGCCGCTACTTGGTTCAAAATCAAGTGAGTAATCAGCTAATAAAACTAAAAAAAGGAGCATTTAAAAAAAAAGAAAAATCCCATTTATATATTATATATTTTTTAAACATATAATTTATTAATATAGATTTTTTTTATTTTTTTTACTGCTGTTCATTTTTTACCTCTGCTGGCTGCTTCTCACTTGCTCTATGAATAAAATCAACATTTAGTGGCCGTCCCCTAACCATCAAATGTCTTTTTGCCCACCAATCATTTTTTCTTAGCACCACGAATGAAAATCCGAAGCACGAAATAAACAAAAATATTTGTCCATTTCACGTTTCATCTATATGGAGATTCGGTGTTATGGTATTCGGATGCAGATCGCTCTGAATTTGTACGAATCATAATTCTCATTAAACTAAATGCACCAGTCTGGCAGACAGCCAAATGAGTGAGTACAAAAAGGACCTTTGATTTGGATTAACTCCTTGTCATCCTGTTGGCTAGCTCCAGCTCACTGCTGCTACTGACGAAATTAAGCTCAGGACCCACCTTGCACTGACTAGATGATAATTACAGTACATGTATGTTATTTATATAACTATAATAATAATAATGGAGGATGGCTCGGAGAGAATTTTAAAGTCAATTCATATCTACTTACAAAGTATAAAGAGTATCATAGTCAATAATTAATGGTTTTTAAAAACATTATTTCTAGATATATATTCCCCAACCTGTATATGTTGACTTATTTTGCCAATGCATATATAATTTGAATTGAGTGAGGCATCTATTCACTAGACACTGATAGGATTATTCATAGGAATTTAACATGAATTCAAAGTAAATTGTAGGCCAAAAAAATGTAAATTCTCTTTGAATTCTGTACATTATTAGTGAATAATCCTATTATAGTTATTTATTAAAGGGACGCAAAACATTCTTTTTATGCAAATGTTATTTTTTGTTTGTTTTTTAAATATTAAAGATCATATATATATATAAATATATATATCATTGTATTTAAAAAAAACTTCCCATAATATTAAATAATTTTAAAAGTTTATCCAAAAATATTAAATCATTTGAAAAGCGTATCTGAAAATCTTAAATTGAGGCCTTAATTTGGTAAAACTTTGAAGTTTAGTGAATGACCCTTTTGAGTTGTGGTGAACTGACAAATAACAATTCACAGTAAAATAGCAAATTTAGAAACCATTTCACCCGAGTCAAAGTCAATTATTTTTAAAGGACTGCCAGGTAACCTAAACTAATAAGAGTGAAAAATAATGTTTAGTAAATAAACCATAAATAGTTATTTCATCAAATTACACTGCATGGGCCAACTAATTTGCCTTTTAACCTAGAATTAGTACAACAGATGGAAAATATATACATATATAGCTATCAGTGCACAGATCTATACAGAAATTTATTGTAACGTAGACTGTAAGCTCGTTTGAGCAGGGTCCTCTTCAACCTATCGTTCCTGTAAGTTGTCTTGTAATTGTCCTATTTATAGTTAAATCCCCTCTCATAATATTGTAAAGCGCTACGGAATCTGTTGGTGCTATATAAATGGCAATAATAATAATTAGAACTTAAAACAAAAATAGACAAAAATAAAACATACAAAACAAATGTAAAAAGCATATTGAATAACGAATGTGTAAAAGAATCCCCCTTGGAACCACAAGCTACCGGATGTAAACACAAGGTAAAATCATCTATTACATTGTGCATTAACAGAACAAGCTCATCAAAAGGAAGTGATTAAATATGTATGGGTCTAAAGACATAGCTAGAAAACAGGAACTGTAGCAATTTAGCACAGCAATACACAATGAAACATTACATATTAATACGTGTGCCAAGGACTGCAAGAGGCTAACACGAGGCAGGTTTTTATCTGCAGTTCAAATCAGAAAAAAGGTATTCAGATAGAGAATGTTATGTGTATATTTCTTTTACTTGATTATTTTAATGCTAGGGTTAGGCTAAGACATGTCCAGTCTGCCTTGGCCTGATTGGAGCTACAGACAGTAACTGTAATTCTATTGCCCCACTGCATTGTGTTTATGGGTAAAATGTGGCTGCTTTCCATGTAGGCAGCGGGCAGCTTCAGTAAGAGAATAAAGAATTACTCGCTACAAACAAACACCTCGTATCAGTGATGTGTGAATGGATATTTGCGGTGTATGAAACTTTGGTTATTGGCACATTGCCAGATTGCACCATATTTCATTATTTCTCAGTGTCTCCTAGGGGTGAAATACTTGCCAAGTAACAAACGTCCGACAGTCGGTAGGTGATTCTGTGCACAGTTCGTTACAGAAGTGAAGCAGGTGTTTAGTAATCTGTTGTGAGAGCTCCTGCTTAGCGACGTTCATCAGACGCCCTGTGACAAGGAACATTTGTCTGAAATGCAGGTGATAATTAAAAAAGCACAAGTTGGGTGAAGCAGAGCCCCATTACTGTGCATTTATTAGCGGCACAGTGCTGTATAGAGCTGTACAGGCAGGAAAAATAATTAAAGGTGCATTGAAGCTTATTTTTGTGTTTATAGTACAAAGAGTCTGTTGGTGCTTGTCAAACTCTAGCCGAAAAGATTAGAGGGACACTCCACACACCTAAAGCACTGGGCATTCCAGACAAGATGGTGGGAACTGGGCAGCTGAGCTCACACTTTGCAATGTGCGATAGGAGTTATCCCTGACAGGCAGCAAAGGTGTTTTTCATGTCGCCCATTTTCTCTCCTTTCTCTTGCAATCCTTGGGTTTGCTTGGTATTGTTATAAATAAATTTGAAAGTTTAAAAATTCACTTGCTTAATCAGACCTCCGGAGAGAACGTAATATTATACATCAATGCCGCCACACAGAGCATCAGACCGACTCCTGGAAATGCTAAAGCTCATTCACTACTCAGTTCATAATGCTTCCAGCGCATATCCTCGGGGCTCCTATCACTGTCCTGTAACCGGCTACTGCAGGAGCATCATCCACAACTTCCCTCAGTTGTAAGTAGGGAACCAACAACGCTGTTTTTATTTTCTTAATTTCTTTCTTTTTGTGGTTCATTAGGGCCTGTAGAGGAAAGAGGGGGAATTTCCCAGTTTACATGTTCCACTTCCATAGGCACACTGTCCAACTCTGGCTACATTCAGTTAGGAGTGCCGGCTTCTCTTTTGTTAGCTAACTGCAAGTGTCCGAGTAGCCCATAGTTAGCATTTCTGTCCTTCTTTGGCCATAGCCCATCAGTCCTGCAAGGCCAACCGCCATCCTCATCGGAGGTATATGCCTCTTGGCCTATATCATAGCTAGTGCCTTGCCTCACCCTCTCTAACTTATAGTTAGGGCCTCACCAGTCACAGTCACTCTGTCCTCATGCATGTAATGTCACCACGAGGCCAACACACCACCACATCACTTGGTGGCAAATGCCCACTTAACCAAACCATAGATAGAGCCTCTCAATCAGTTGGCACTTATAGGGCCTCACCTTTCACGTTTTCAAGGTAGCATCATCAATTGGCACTAGCTAAAAGATCCTGAGAGGGAATGTAGTTATATATTCCAAGCAGATTAAGTGGAAGAGCAAATACTGGTTTCCCATTAGACTTATATTTGAGGTAAATAGGAGCCCCCAAATCTTTGTTAACTTTGCAGAGACTTTATTTTGGCAGTTGTCCAGGTATACACTGCCTAGATACCTGGATGATTTTGTGACCATTCCAGTCTGGAGGTCACTTATGGGCTGGTCAGACAAACTAGCTTCTTGCCACATAATCAATGAGGTCTGTTCTTCATCCCTGATATTCGTGAAACTCTGTAGAAGGTTGACCTGATTAGCAGCCATCAAGTAGTTATTGTGCATTTACATACCAGGCCTCATACAGACGCTGTCTCACACTACAAATTTAATTTAGTTTTTCAAGGTCCATCCCACAGTGGAAAGCCAAAGTGCTGCAGCCCCTACCTTCAGACATATGATCCTGGACTAAGACAACTCATAG